GAAAGATGCAAGCAAAAAGCATCGGTAGATGAAAAGCTTACAGTTTGGACCTTCTAGATTCGGGAAATCAACGTTGAACCTGCGAAAGGGAGCTGTCTTCAGATCAGCAGCATCTGCCACTTCACTCTCCATGGCAAGTAAATCTAGTAGAGGGAGGATTGATCTGTCTGAGGCGGAAGCAACTTTGGAATTAGGTAAATCTCTCGGTATTGATTTTGAAGGCAAAGATGAGGAGGTTATTAGCAAACTGCTGCAGTTAGAAGCCAAGGACTTGGAGAATGTTAGAACACGGGTTGGGGATGCCAACTAGGCTACTGCTGTCAGGGGACCATTAGTGTATAATTTGTTTATATGAAGATTCAATCATGGAAAGTATAGTGGATGTTTGCTGTGATGCTGGTATGCTTTGCTGAGTTTGAGTGTCTGGGTGGCAGATTGTCTGTGGTGGTTGAGTGTCTGTTATGCTAGTCTGCTGGCTGTATGGGTTGAATGTTGATGTGTTGGATGGTTTAATGAGTTGTAGTGCAGGTCTAGTGGCTGTCCAGGCTGAAGGCAAGATGGTCTGCTAGTTGTATGGGGTTTAATGCTGGATTCTGGTTGTATGGGCTGTATTGCAAGTATCCTGGTTGTCCGGACTGAAAGCAAGGTGGTCTGCTAGTTGATTGGGCTGTAAAGTGCTGTTTTGCTGGTTGTAGGTGGCCTTGTGGTGAAGTTGTTTGACTGGGTGTGCTGTTTTTTAGTTGTTTTCTTTCTGGTTTTTGTGTTTTTTTCTTCTGCTTCTTTTGTTATCTTTTTGTTGGTTTCTCACCAACTGGCGCTTGGAGCTTTGTGCTAGCTCCAAGCTCCTCTTTATTGATGTAATCTATCTTTTTTGGTTGCTTTCATCAATAAAGATTTTCTTTGCCGATCAAAAAAAAAAAAAAAACTGGGAAGAATTGGTATGGAAATATAATTACCTTAAAAATTATTTACAAAAAATGTATGAATCACCCTTTCAATTTACTAAAATACCATCATCGTCTTTTTATTCTTCTTTCTTATTCCATTTTCTCAGCTATGTAATTTTGGCCACCGATCTTGACCACCACTTCCCTTTATGATCTTCAGCCGATTCCACACCATTCCTATGCTACTTGAAACTCTTTCTCCACCCTGTTCACGAACTCTCACCACTTTCTTACCCATCCATTCTCCTCCATCCTAGTTACTTCCCACTATATAACTAAATTGACAAAACACTAATCACCAAAGGCCCTTTTTTCCATTGCAACCCCCCACCTTCTATTCCTTGTTATAGTAAGAAATAATAATAATAATTTGGGTGCCAGTGCAATACGTGCACCATACAAGTACAAAATGTGCAGAATTGTGCACATTTGTCCCTTGCACCATCCACATATTGTATCATCTACATATTGCATTTGCAATAATGTACAAATTGTATTTGCGGCCAACACAAGTCACCTGCACCCGAAAAAAATTTGCAACAACAGGGAAAGAAATAAAAGTCGCAATGGTGAAGAGCTATAAGAGTTCTAGTGGCTAAGATTTTAGTTGATTTGGTTGTTAAGTATGGAGAAAGAAGTTAAAACAAAAGTGGAGGAAAAGGAAATGGTAGGATAAGGGTTTGGAGTAAGGAAGGAGGGTGGAGGATCGGGGTCATAGGGGAGTGGTAGTCAATGATGAGTTGTAGCCAAAGTTTTAGAGACAAGAAAAGAGAAGAAGAATAAGAAGAAGATTAGGACATTTTGATAAATTCATAAGTGATTTCCACCTTTTTGCACTTAGGCCTCGTTTGTTAATTATACATTTTAGTCAAAAAGTCACTATAAGTTGTTACATCACTCTCTCTACTTTTTTTGTACATCTTTTCGTAAAAAATTAGAAAGTTACTAAAATAGCATGTTCCCAAATAAGGTCTTAGTTTTATTCTTACCATTTGAGTTGTAATTTCAAAAAAATTATCCACTTGAAAATATTTTCCCCATACGGCTCCAATTCATTATTTTCCCTTTCTTTTTCAATCATTTTCACTTCAGCAAGTCCATTGACCAGTGAATATTTACATTATTTGTGGTAATCTTACATTTGTAAGTGGAAATAAACAAGATAGAAAAAAGTTAAAAGTGAAAGAATCTAAAATTTATGTTTTTCTAGGTTGGGTTAAGAAATGAGAAAAATAAATATGCAAGTAATTTCATTCTCTTTTCATCTTCTATTTTCTTGACAAAGGAAGAGTCTTCTTAATATATGACTTTAAAATAGGAATCTTTTTTTTTTTTTAAGTTTCTAGTATGAAGATTTTATAGGATAAAGGACATGCAATATTTTCATAGTGGTTAGGATTCCTTAATATTTTTTCAAAGAAATTTCAAACCAAATAAATTTCTCAATTTCTCTGTGTTTTGAAATTTTTTGTGTTTTCAAATTTTTCTAAGTTGAAATTTCTTTGATTTGTTCACAAATTTCTCTGTGTTTTAACCAATTTTCTTTGGTTTGTTCACAATTTTCTCTGTATTTTTGACCATACTAGAGAAAATTGAACAACTACCATTTTAACCAATTTTCTCTAAACTATAAGACATTCGGACAACAGGTGTACTAATGTTAATCGAAGCAATCTTACATCCAATGTACGCATCAAATTTTGCACATACAAATATTCATTAACATCATATATCACGATTTTATCAATGATAACGATGAGATAAAAGAAAAAATTGTTTCAAATGGAAGGGTTTAGCAATACTAATGTAACGCCCAACTTCCAGGTCGTTTATAAATCAAATCAACCTCAAAATTAAGATAAAAACTCTTTGCAAAAAGATTTAGAGGAAGCATATTGTACACCACCCGAATTACCTCAAAACAATTCCATAACCATTTGATGCAAAATCTCTCCAATACCAATGCTTTTAATCATTTGCTATATCACCATAAATCTCCAAAGGTTGTGGATCGAAAAGGTATGTAAAGTTTAACAAAATCTACAACTATCCTCTTAAATAAAATGCTAACTCTCACTCTAATACTCTTAATCTAAACTCTAAATTTTGATCATAAGGAAAGAGAGAGAGATAGAGAAAGATGGATGGACCAAGAAGAAGAACCATAGAAAGAAGTTGAGAGGATGAATTCAAATTTATAATCAAAATAAAGAGTTGCCTCCAAGTGTAAACTTGGAGGAAAAGAAAGATAATTGTCTTTAAGGCAAAGAAAGGTAACTTGAAGGGAAAGAAAAGAACATTTGTTTGGAACTTAAGCAAACTAAAAACAAATAAATAAATAAAAAGAGATGAATAATGATAATAATGAAATGGAGGTAAAAAGAGACAAAACAACTAGAGAAAATAAGTTAAGTTCTCATATAAAAATCTCACTACCAAACTATTATAATAGATCACCAATTCCTCCCATTAAAATATTAATACCTAAAAAATATAGGGTTTCACAACCAATGATGTAGGTTCCGATGGCGATGGTGACGAGAGCCTGAGTGTGGTGAAATGCAGCGGTGTGCAAATTGCTTAGGGTTAGGCGAAGCCAATTTGGTGAATTTCTTAATAGCGATCGACTGGCAGTTCTGTAGACGGCCTTTGTAGACAAGATTAGGGGCTCTTTTACTGCTTTCGGAGATGATGTACTCAGGGCTGAACTCCAAGAAACATAACTCTGAGAAGGAGGGAACTCTTGTGTCTGGTCCGTCGGAAGACAGTGGGTTGTGGTGGTTGTCTTTTTTCTGGGTGTCTACTGGCAAAGTTGATTCACAACAACTCATGTCTGAGTAAGTCTCAAAGTTGTCCTCAAATGGCCAAAGGAACCATTTTATAGTAAAAAAATGTAGAGAGATCTCTCTCAGTTGTTTCACTTTATTGTTGTTGTGTCTCTCTTTCTCTTTTCAATCTTTGGCACTAGTGACAATGATAAATCTTGAATTAGAGTGTAGTGTCGTGTATTGTTGAGGGACGCTACGTTACAAAAAATAATATTGTGAATCTCTCATATTATCAAAAATTGAATAGAGATGTTAGACTAATTTTTCCCTTTAAAATACATGTTAAGATGACTTAAAAGATTATATACTCATTATTACATACATTTTTATATAAAAGTATGTAATATTTTAAAATTTATTAATATTTTACCAAAAGGCAGGATAAATTAGACATTCTTTGTGTGAAATAAAAGGACCACCACACTAAACACTAATAGAATATGATATTGACCACATTAAATTATATTAATTAATTCACGGCCCACTGACCATATGAAGAGATTGGAATTGAAAATAGTGCCTGTGGGCCTTTGGAAATGTTTGTCTCACTCAAAATTCAAGCAATTTAATAAACTGAAAATATTATTTATGTTCATAAGAATTTAACAAAATCTATAATGTGAAAGCAAAATACTCGGGGGATTTTGGATTTGCTCAAGTAAAAAAAGAGAAAAAATAAAATGAAGAGAGCTAAACTTTTTTTTCCCCCCCTTTTATTTGAATGGGTTAAAAATGAAAAGAAAATAAATATATATTGTTAAAAGATAGATTTTTGTTTAATTACTCGTTAGAAATTAAATATGTAATTAGTAATTTCAACGTCCATTATATTTTCATTCTTTTGACAAATTCAAGATTAATGGATTGTGTGAGACATATTGGAAGTTGATTAAAAACTAAAATTTTGATCTTTTTATCTCTTCGTAAATAAAAAATATAAGAAGTGATATGACTCAGTTTGCCCAAAAAACTCCTATGCTCTCGTGGCAAAGAGGACTGTGCAAAATGACACACTTCCACATGTATTACCACTTATTTGCAACCAACTAATTTTCTTAGTTTCTATTTATCTAATTTTGTTAATATATTTAAATTAGCAGTACTAGATTCTATTTTTAACACCATGAGTTAGAGGTTTTCTATACAATATATATAAACCACGGATGCAAGTAAACAGTAATTTCAGCCAAATATGAACAGTATTTTTTGAATAGTTGAAAAGTCGGCCTTATGCTTTATAGGTTTTCTTCTTTGGATGCAAGGCTATTCATGGAAAACTAACTTCAAATTCCTTACAGCTGTTTATCAAAAAGGATCCATAGTATACGCCGCTCTCTCCCTCGTTTGTTTGCTTCTCTCCCTCACGAAAAAACCCCTCTCTCTTCTCGGGTCGTCTCTTCCCTGTTTCCATTCGTGGAGATCCAAGTCGCAAGGATTGAAGAGACCAGGTATGGCTCTTAAAACCTAAAATTTTCTCCTATTTGCTCCGAATCTATGGTTTCTCTCTCTCTGATTTCTCTGTCCGTTCTTTTGCTCTTTATCATCTCTCACTTTCGTCTCTTGATTTTGAAGGGTTCTTCGAGAGCTCTGTCTTCTGTAGTAGCTTATTGGTTCGAAAGAGTTCTCATTGAAGAGGTATGGCTTGAAATCCCTAAAACCCTGATTTTTATTAGTATGAAATTGTGATTTTGGAGACCATCATATAAATTTTCCTCGAGTTGTTGTTTATGTGGTCTTCTCTTTTTAGTATTTTCTATGCACATACATACCAGCAAGCTTTTTTATTCATTTATCTATTTTGCTGTGAAAAGATTGCAAAATTCAATGGGGTCAAACTTTTTCACCTTTAAAAACCCTCAAACAGAGGGCTTAATGTTCTTGATTTCAAATGGGGTTTGAATTTTTCTTGATTTCAAATGAATCGCTCCAAATGCAGTTTGGATTTTTCGAAATGCATGTATATAACTACAATCTCAATGTACAAAAATACACTTTTGGTAACCCAACTGACACAACTCTTCATTTGTTCCTAATTTTGTCATAGATTTTCTCTCTCCTCTCTCATATGTGTCTCTTCCTTTCTCACATCATCATTATCATTTTCCTTCTTTTTGGTTTTGTGTGTGTATTTGTTGAATATCACTAGAACTAGCTACAGTAGTTCCATTGATGTGTAGTTGTTCCAGTGATGTGTTGAAGTGCTTAGCTTTTGCAATTTGTTTTGTAGAACATAGTGTGTCGAAGTTTTGTGACTATTGCTTGGTAGTGTGTCCATTGCAAGGCTTTACATGGAAAATTGAATTGGGTGATTGAGGATATTCTGTGATTATGTTATGACTTTTGATGATGTGAAGATCCCTCATGGTGAGTCAAGAGATGTGGAAGAGAAAAGAGAAGAAGAAAAATAGAGAGGTGAGTGATGGCCGGTAAAGAGTGTGGAAAGAAAAAAGAGTAGAGAAAGAAGAAAAATATATAGGTATGTGATGGTCTGTAGAGAAAGATAGAGTAGAGAGAGAAGATCAGAATGTAAAATAGAGACCGTGGATCATAGTGATCAATTAATGGGTGAAATGAATACCAGTGAAAGTAGAGAAGATTTTTTGGCCAATGGTTTTCTTTGCCTCATTAGGTGTCTTTTGTGAAATGGGTTTGCAAAAAGTTGCCATACTTTTTTTAAAAAATTTATTACTAATTTTATTCCTTTGATTAAATTGAAAAATATATCATCCGTGTGAAAAATTCAATAAACCTCAACAATTTCTTAAGATCACTTTTAAACGTCAATTTGAATGGTTAAAGGTCTAATCTTTTCTCTTCATTGCTTTTTTTTCTTTTGTTCCCCTAGGTTTGGAAATGACTTTTGTTTGAGTTTCATTCATAAAAGAGAATTATAACACATTAGTATGAATCATGTTTTAATTTGATTGGGGCTCAGTGCCACTATGGAGGGTTAAATAGAAATGTGAGGAAAACTACACATAGCCGTTGGAGTCTTGGCCAATGGTTTGCTTCATATTTAGTGGTTTCATAATTCTTTGTGATGTGAGTTCGTAATAAGTTTTATAATTTCCTCTATTATCTTTAGTAGATTTTGTTACTTGCTTCATTTTTTTTTTTTCATTTGTGTATGTAGATAATGTGTATTTTTTGTTAACAATTGTGAAGTCTCCTAACAATATATATAATACAGTCCTTCAATTTCCCTTGTTGTTTGTTTAGTTGAACTTGAGGCTTAATATTACTACCTTTTGCATGTTAGGTGTTCATATAACAGAGGAATACACTATTCTTCATTCATAATTATTATTATGAACAAGTCTGAGATTTTTTTTTTCCAGTACACTAAAAAAATTCATTTTGAAAAGAATTCTTCAAATTATCATCTTTAATATCCAATATTAATCTCAATTCTTTTGCAAATTTATTCTCATGTGCAAGAGCCAAAAATGGGCAGGAACCTTCTCTGTGATAAATGATTCAACATTTGATACTCAATTCATTTGACTTTGCATGGTTGTTTATTTAATGAGATTAAAGACCTCTTATTAAAATGTACATTCTTTGCATTATATGGTGGCTTTTGTTGCTTTTGTCAATTTGAATGGAAGTGTTGTTGCTAACAACCATTTTCACTTTTATTGTTTCATTTCATTTTTATTTCATAATTCTTTTTCTTTGTTTTTAATAAAAGTAAATTAGTAATGTGAGATTTATTTCTTGTCCTTCCTCCTGATACTAGAAGTGCAAAAGAAGCTTATGCAGTTTCTAGATTTTTTTTTTAATCGGTAAAAATAAAATATATTGATGTCAAACAAAGGTACAAGGTGTACAAATAAATACATCAGTGGAGACAAAAGGCCAAGGCTAAAGCAACAAAAAAGGGAACAAATCCCAATCAAAATTGGGAGCAACAGCAAACAAGAACCAAAACAAAGCCAAATAACGCAAGTAGCAAATATTGCAAACAAAACACCAGCAGCAATTGATGCGGAAAAAATTCCCAAATCCTTGCTGCACTCAACCAAAAAAACTCCAATGTTTAAAAGATTTCTACAATGCTTCCCATAGCATAACAGAGCACACCCATAATCTTGTTTCAAGACCGAACACCTATCACTTAGGCTGTGTTGATCATGAATTTAGGTAGAGATTTGGAAAGGAAAGCGAAAATGTAGATAAAATGTGAATGAAATATAGTTACATTTCACTCACCTTTCCCTTTCCCTTTTCATTTTCCCATTCCCTTTCCCTTTCCCTTTTCCTTTTCAAATTCTTACCCAAATCCATGCTCCAAACACAACATTAAGGTAACAGGTTTGAAAAGTCGTCTTCTTCCTATACAAAAAAAGCTCTTCTAAAATTAAGTTGCGAAGAACCATTATGATCACCTGGGTGGAGAAGATTAGCCACATTTCCATCCTTATTATCTGAAAGTTTATGCAACTAGGGTCTCTCATCAAGCCATTTGTCCTTCCAGAAATTAATATTCTTGCCATCCCCCAACTTTAGACTCAAATTTTCCCTGAAGAGTTGGAAGTTGGAACTTGTCAAAAAATTTTGATTGGATAGAAAAAACTCCTTTCACATGTTGTAAAAGATCTATTTTTAGGCAAAGGTTCTAACAGATTAATTAGATCATTGGAATTATTGTACCTGTACTTTGTAGTCCAGTGTGATCATTAAACCTAACCTAAAACATCACTTGCATTCATGCACTCAAAATCTATTTCAAATATTAAAGAAAACACTACTATGATAGAATCCAACATTGCTTCTGCTTCTTGTTAATCTAGAACTAATGTTGTGGAATGACCATCTGTGATCTAATTTAGTGAATGCAAGTTGCTAAAAACATCTAATAGCAAACTAGACCTTATTATCAAAAGCTAATTATCAAATATGAAAGGCTTAAAAAACTAAGCTTGTGGGTTTGGTCTAGCTTTTAGATGTGAAATTCCCTCGCTATGTAATTTGCACCATCTTGTTGATAAATTTTCTCTTTGAATTTTGAATGATTTAATTTGCATGCATGCGCTACGTTCGAACTACATAAAACACAATGATTTGAATCTAACCCTCGTAAGAATTTGCTTGTAGTTCTCTATTTCCTTCTTTTCAAGTAGATGATCTTATCTCCAATCCATGCAAATAAGGATGTTTGATAATAGTTATTATGGTCTACCTTTGTATTGTTTTTTTATTTTTTTTTTGTCCCCATTAAACTATTAAATAAGAAGGGCTGATAACCTTTCTATTATTGCTTTTAATTTTTTTTTTTTATGCTTTAAGCAAGTAGAATAAAAGTTTTGCAAACAAATCATGTTTGATTATTCACATGATCCTGATCCATTTGGTATACATTTAGATTGAAGGAGTTGATGGGATCTAAAAGGTAGTATTTGATTTGAAATGCTAAATTATGAAAACTAGATATTTCTTTCTAACAAATATAATGCAGAGCAACTCTGGCTGAGGATTTAATAGAAAATTTAGTTCATGGAGGAGATGATGTGGTATGTCTCACAACATTACATACAAGCATGGTTTGGCTCATCTTACTCATAATATACCAAGTAAAAGTGGGTTCACAATTGATGAGGGATTTCAAGTCCTGCCATTAAGAATGATGGAGTACTTGTTCATTTGTCAAATAGAGAAAACAATTGCTTTATTTTTATTACATCATATTTTTAGTAATGACAATTTTGTTGGGAAAATAGATCTTGTAATAGGTTTTTTTATTTTTTATTTTTGTATAAGTAATAGTTTTTGTTAAAATTTTTGTATTGTTGAGTCGATCTTATATTCATGATTCAGTTGCTAATTTTGTGTGTTTATGCAATAGCTCAAAACTCATTTAAATACACAAATGTAATGGGCACTAACTGGCCATTAGTTAGCGTGCCTTGCACGCGGCCCTTTCACTAGTTTTAATAAATTAGCAGTACTATATGTCTATAGAGATATATAGACACCTGTGCAACTTTATTAGAGGTTTTCTTTTATTAAAAAAAGTTGAGAGTATGTGTTAAAATGTCTAGTATGATTTTTACTTATACTTTTTGAGCTAATTTTTTTTAAAAAATAAGTTGATTATCACGAATACTGGTTTATGAGCTAAATTTTTTAAAAAATAAGTTGATAATCACGAAGTGACTGATGTTTTTAATTTATATTTTTTAGGATAAATTATAAATATATTCTTTAAGATTTACTTAAAATATGAATTGTATTCTGTAGTTTTAAAAATTACAAACATCTCATTGTCGAAATTTTTTATCTAATAGAATTAACAGGAAAATTGAAATTCTTAACTACTTTCCTACACAATAATAAAATTACTTGAATTATTAATTGAAATATATTTCTGACATCATTAAAAAATGTTAATTGACTTGATTTATTAATAAAATGAGTAATTTATTAAGTGATTAGAAACTTGAAGGGGTGTGATGTAATTTCTAGAACCAGATGAGGTAATCTGTATTTTAAAGAAATCTTAGGATATGTGTTTGTAAGTTATACTATTTTTTTAATTTTTAATTGTTAATTTAAAAAATAAAAATAAAAAAACAAAATAGAATATAATTAGTTGAAAGCCACTATAGAATTGCAATGAGCCCAACCTGAACTTTTTGGTCTGAGCCCTAAAGAAGCCTACTTTCCTGCCGTGATCCCTGCCGTGGTAAAAAACGACGTCGTTTTTGACCTTTTTTTTTTTTTTTCCTCGTTTCTTTTATGTTGCTTCAGAACTCAAAGAGAACCCTAGTGAGACGAATTGAGAGTAGAGGCGAAACGACGAGGAGAGGAAAGGCAGCGGTGAGGCGAGGGAAAACGACGGCGACGACGGCGACGAGGTACGTTCGTCTTCAGGATCATTTTTCTCCCTTCGTCCCTTCGTGTTTTATTACTTTTTTTTATATGATTTTGTTGCCAATAGATGCTTTTGATTTATGTTGAGTTTGATGGATTTGTTGTTGAAACAGATTTGGTGTTATTTCTGTTGAATTTTTGCCAATTTTTGTTGATTTGGTGTTATTCTGAATTTATTCCCAATGTTTGTGTTAATCTGTTCAATGTTTTGTGTTAATCTGTTCAATGTTTGTTTTATTCCCAATTTATTGGAATAATGACATTAATCTGGGCATAGTCTCATCATGCTCACCATTTGACTGCTGAATAATGAGAGATGGTGAGATCCATTTGACTGCTGAATAATGTGAGATGGTGAGATGTGGAATATAAAATCCTTTCATTTTTTGTTCAATGTTTGAGACTGCTGAATATATTGTGTTAATCTGGGTTCCTTAATCTGGGTTCCGCATTACTATTAAAAATGATTTTCTTTTTTTTTTCCTTTTATTTGACACTTTTGACGCAGAATGATTGAGGAATTCATTTTTGAGTCTTTGAGTCCTTGAATTCATTTTTTTCCTTATCGACTCGCATGTTGGGAAATCAACTGTTGCAGATAAAGCATTCAGAATAATACTCTCCTCTGGTTTAATGTACTCCATTATGATCCCTGAAATCTGCTCATAGATATCTTTAGGTTGGCCATGAACAGGCACTCTAGTGATTCCAGGAAGGTCCACCATTGTAAGATCAGGAACACCTTTCTTTTTCACAACTAGAGTCAATGGGGTGTGGGAAATCCCCTTCCCATTGCCTGCAATCAAGAACCAACACAGGATTTCAATATAGAGTAGCCAACATAAGCAATAATAAAAATTAAAAAAAATAAATAATAATAATAATAAATCTTAACAGCTATCTTGAAAAAAATTATATAGTACAGATGAAAAAGCGTATAAATAAGTTTGTCTATCAAATAAAAAAAAAAAAATTATCTGAGTGTCGAATCTCAAATTATATTTGAGACTCTTTCCTGTGATTAAAAACATAGGTGACGGAACATACATTTGTACAATATATTTCTTAATAGATGTGACCTTCATGAGTACTCAAAACCTCCTTTGTTGAGTCTCTGAGTTCTGAAAATGAATGATTGAGTCCTGAATTTGGTCTGGAACAATATAGATCAAATAGAGACATGATTCAAATAGGACTGCCCTGTTTGATCTAAGAGAGACATGAATCAAATTTTCCCAGAGGATTCTATGTTGGTATTGTTTCTCAGATCGGAACGAATTTAAAGAAACTTCAATTTCAGTATGTTGCACCTAAAACAGGCAGATTAAGTACAATATCATTATCAGAAACAGTTCTAGTAGGAAAATAGTAGATAATGGGGGAATTGCTGAGCTTCCCATTTGCCTAAAATTTGGGTCAAAAAACACTTGCCAACACAAAAAGTAGGGTCAGATTAAGAAATAATTTGCTCCTATGCCCAATGGGACAAGAACTTCGGGGCAATTTGAGTACCAATGTTCACAGGTGGCATCCCATTGTATGTGATTTTGAGGATCAAAGTTGATAATTATCTCAAAAATCCTGTATTGTATATGGGTCTTGCTTAACGAACCCCAAAGAACCAACTAATGCCAAAAAAGATAATTTCAACACACATTTCACGTATTTCTATACACTTTCATACATTTTCTATACACATTTCACATATTTCAATAAACTTTACACACATGCATACCAATATTAACCATAGCATTTCCCTTAAAACATTGGACTAGGCATGTAATAAAAAGATATGCCAAAATTTTACTTCATGTGCATTAGTTGAATGCTGATTAACAGGTGAATCACTTTCTCAGGATAAAGATTGTCACAGTATCAATGAGAAAGCATATACACTCCTTTTCAAGATATGAAAAAAAAAAAAAAAAAACAAAACTCAAATCAAGATATAAAAAAAATTGGAATTTGCATATACAATTATATGAATTCCATTAAGAAGGAGCATTAATATGTGTGTATCAGAATGCGACATCTCTGCTAAGCATTTCATTGAACAGAAAGCGTACAAATATCAATGGGTAATTGTTATGATCGAATCTGAGAAAAAATGAAACAAGAATTGTGAGCAACACCAGACAATCATTCAAATTTCATAGATATGTATTCAAAAAATTCATAGACAATACACATTTATAGACAACAGTTATAAGAATAATTCAAGAATTTGAAAATCATACTCTCGAGTCCGGTTCCTCTGCCGTTCTTTCCTGCAGTGTCCCCTGCCAGGGTTCAAAACAGCGTCGTTTTGGTTAATTTTTTTTTTTTTTTCTCCTCCCCTTTTCCTTTCTATCTCATTAGCTTGAACCCTTACCTATTGACAGAGGCAGAGGTGAGGTCCTGCAATATTCATTCTTACTTGCTATTGTTGATTGCAATATGCTTCAAGATTGATCTAACCAAACCAAATATTTTGATTTTAGATTGTTTGTATCAAACCCCATAATGTGACAAAGTTAAAGGACGGCGTCGGAGAAGTCTTATTCGAAGATTCTCCATTGAATTTGATTTTGAATATCAATCAAGAAAAGAAAATAAACTCAATCTGAGATTGAGAAAATATGACCCAAACATGATAAACAACAAATAATCGAATAAGTGTTCGGGACAAACATGATAAACGACAGATAATCAAATAGATAGGCATATTTTACGATGAATATCACTAAAAAAAAGAAAAGAAAAGAAAACTAAAAATCCATTTCCGATCTACGCATTCATCGAACTATTTCTGATGAATATCAATCAAAATTATAAATAAATAAAAAAAAAGAGTAAACCAAAAACCTAGAAACCCATTTTTGATCTTCGCATTCATCAGAATATTTCTGACGAGCAATGGAAGAGTGGGGGGAGAGTAGAGACGAGTGTGAGCTCCTTCACCTCTTCAAATGGCTCGAACAATACACCGATGAGAGGCCGACTGTCCGAGCACTTGGAAGCTCAAACCAAAAACCCATTTCTGTTTCACCTCTGCCTCTGTCAACGGGTAAGAGGGTTCAAGCAAATGAGATAAAAAGGAAAAGGGGAGGAGAAAAGACAGAAAAAGAAAAAGAAAAAAAAAATTAACCAAAACGATGCCGTTTTGAACCATGGCATGGGACGCCGCTGGAAATTATATATAGAACATAAATCATATGAAAAAATCTGACTTATATATATAGAACATAAAATTTACCTACTTCAGTGACTGAACCCATTTCAGTTAGTGAACCCATTTCATATGAAAAAATTTGAATTAATTGATTTAAAAAATCTGAATTTGAATTAACAGATAAAAATCTGAATCAAATATATTAAAATCAAATTTGAATTAAAATGGGTTAATCTGAATCAAATTTGAATCAATTTGAACTAAAATCTGAATCGAATTTGAATTAATCTGAATCAAATATATTAAAATCTAAATTTGAATTAACAGATTACACCTAGGCAACAGATTAAAATCTGAAATGGGTTAAAATCTGAATCAATGAATCAATATATAACATTTCAGATTTAGACAGATGTATTAAAATATATCAATATATATCAATGAGTCAATTTATAACATCTGAAATCAGATTCATTGATATATATAAAAACTGAATCAATGAATAAAAAAAAATACATATCAATGAATCAATGTATAACATATGAAATCAGATTCAAATCAATGAATCAATGGGTTAAAACCTGAATCAATGGATTAAAATCAATGAATCAAGAATCAATGGGTTAAAATCTGAATCAATGGGTTAAAATCAATGAATCAATGGGTTCCTTAATTTGAATCAATGGGTTAAAAAATCAATGAGCCAAAATCTGAATCAATGAATCAATATATAACATTTCAGATTTTAAAATCAATGAATCAATGCCTAAAATCAATATACAACCATCAATGAATCAATATATAACAACAAGATGATGAAATAGACCTCGCTGTCGCCGCAATGTCGCCTTCCCGCCATCGCATCGCCACCGGACTCATCGTCGCCCACGGTCCTTTGCTCGCCATCGCGTTGCTCCTCCATCTCCGCCATCTTTTTCGTCTCTCAGTTCCTCTCTCAGTTCGCGTTAGTTCAGTCGCCTCTCATGATAACTCTCTCTCTGCTAGGGTTCAGTCGCCTCTCACGATGCTTCTCTCTCTTTGCTAGGGTTCACTGACTCAGCAAAAGGCGAAGAAGACGATACAGAGAAAGAGAAAAGGGGGGAAACAAGGGAACTGGATTTTTGAATTAAAAAAATAAAATAAAAAAAAACTAAATAAAATGGTCGTTTAACACAAAACGACGTCGTTTTGTATACCACGGCAGGATAGTATGGCAGATCATTTGCACTCAAGCCATTAGTGGCATATATTTCGGAGTCCGGATCCTCTGCTGTTCTTTCTAGTGGCGTCCCATGCCATGGTTCAAAACGGCGTCGTTTTGGTTAATTTTTTTTTTTTTTTCTTTTTCTGTCTTTTCTCCTCCCCTTTTCCTTTCTATCAAAAACCTGATCAACTATCCTACACCAGAGAAACAAATCTATGAAGTGAATGAAAGAAACCCTAGAAAGTGGACTTACAAAATGAGAAGCAATGATTCTTGGAAAGAGGGAAGCAACAAGCATCCCATGAACAAGTCGATCTTCAAATCCAGCATTCCGAGCAATCTCAATATCAAAATGTAGAGGATTCAAGTCATGGCGTAGCTTTGAATATTCAAGAACATCTGAACTTGAAAAAATCCTCGCTTGCTTTAAAACATCTTCGCTTTTAACTATAGATGCTGACAATGAAGAGAACCCCAGAGAGGGGATAAAGCTTGAAACAACCCGCTTCATAAGCATTTTCCAGAGGATTCTATGTTGGTATTGTTTCTCAAATCGAAACGAATTTAAAGAAACTTCAATTTCAGTATGTTGCACCTAAAACAGGCAGATTAAGTACAATATCATTATCAGAAACAGTTCTAGTAAGAAAATAGTAGATAATGGGGGAATTGCTGAGCTTCCCATTTGCCTAAAATTTGGGTCAAAAAACACTTGCCAACACAAAAAGTAGGGTCAGATTAAGAAATAATTTGCTCCTATGCCCAATGGGACAAGAACTTCGGGGCAATTTGAGTACCAATGTTCACAGGTGGCATCCCATTGTATGTGATTTTGAGGATCAAAGTTGATAATTATCTCAAAAATGCTGTATTGTAAATGGGTCTTGCTTAACGAACCCCAAAGAACCAACTACTGCCAAAAATGTATTGTAAATGGGTCTTGCTTAACGAACCCCAAAGAACCAACTACTGCCAAAAAAGATAATTTCAACACACATTTCACGTATTTCTATACACTTTTATACATTTTCTATACACATTTCACATATTTCAATACACTTTACACATGCATACCAATATTAACCATAGCATTTCCCTTAAAACATTGGACTAGGCATGTAATAAAAAGATATGCCAAAATTTTACTTCATGTGCATTAGTTGAATGCTTATTAACAGGTGAATCACTTTCTCAGGATAAAGATTGTCACAGTATCAATGAGAAAGCATATACACTCCTTTTCAAGATATGAAAAAAAAAAAAAAAAAAAAAACTCAAATCAAGATATCAATAAAATTGGAATTTGCATATACAATTATATGAATTCCATTAAGAAGGAGCATTAATATGTGTGTATCAGAATGCGACATCTCTGCTAAGCATTTCATCGAATAGAAGGCGTACAAATATCAATGGGTAATTGTTATGATCGAATCCGAGAAAAAATGAAACAAAAATTGTGAGCAACACCAGACAATCATTCAAATTTCATAGATATGTATTCAAAAAATTCATAGACAATACATACATTTATAGACAACAGTTGTAAGAATAATTCAAGAATTTGAAAATCATACTCTCGAGTCCGGTTCCTCTGCCGTTCTTTCCTGCAGTGTCCCCTGCCAGGGTTCAAAACAGCGTCGTTTTGGTTAAAATTTTTTTTTTCTCCTCCCCTTTTCCTTTCTATATCATTTGCTTGAACCCTTACCTGTTGACAGAGGCAGAGGTGAGGTCATGCAATATTCATTCTTACTTGCTATTGTTGATTGCAATATGCTTCAAGATTGATCTAACCAAACCAAATATTTTGATTTTAGATTGTTTGTATCAAACCTCATAATATGACAAAGTTAAAGGACGGGGAATCAGGGGTATGTATAAAGGTGTGGTGACCACTATTAGATCGCCTGTTGGAGAGACAAATGAATTTTCGTGAATGGGAAGCTCAGCAATTCCCCCATTATCTACTATTTTCTTACTAGAACTGTTTCTGATAATGATATTGTACTTAATCTACCTGTTTCAGGTGCAACATACTGAAATTGAAGTTTCTTTAAATTCGTTCCGATCTGAGAAACAATACCAACATAAAATCCTCTGGAAAATGCTTATGAAGCGGGTTGTTTCAAGCTTTATCCCCTCTCTGGGGTTCTCTTCATTGTCAGCATCTATGGTTAAAAGCGGAGATGTTTTAAAGCAAGTGAGGATTTTTTCAAGTTCAGATGTTCTTGAATATTCAAAGCTAAGCCATGACTTGAATCCTCTACATTTTGATATTGAGAGTGCTCAGAATGCTGGATTTGAAGATCGACTTGTTCATGGGATGCTTATTGCTTCCCTCTTTCCAAGAATCATTGCTTCTCATTTTGTAAGTCCACTTCTAGGGTTTCTTTCATTCACTTCATAGATTTGTTTCTCTGGTGTAGGATAGTTGATCAGGTTCTTGATAATTTTCTGTGCCTTGAATGTTTCAACTTACAAGAGACCATTACTATCTGCTAAATGGGGAAATTAATTAAAGGAGAAGAAGAAAATCACTAAAGAAGGAAAAATCCCAAGAGGGAGTTGTTCCTTCACTCTTTTTTGGGATTTGGAAGTACATATTTCAACTTATTGTTGTTAGAATCAACTTTCATACTATTCCTGAACTAAACCAAACCAAACCTTAAACTCCTATCAAATGGGGTCAGCTACATGAATCTTTTTTTTTTTTTTTTTCACTTGACTCTATCAACGACCATTTGGTTAGTCAAATTAAAGAGATGAATCTCTATTTACTATACTTGCCCACGTCAATTTAGGTCTGCCATTTCTCCTAACACTTCCATCAACCGTCACTGTATTGCATCTCTTTACTACTGTCTCTATTGTTCTCCGTTGTATATGACCAAACAATTTCAATCTATTCTTTCGGAACTTATCTTATCGGTGCTACTCCTACTCATTCACGAATATACTCATTCCTGATTTTGTCTTTTCTAGTCTTGCCACATATCCACCTTAGCATCCTCATCTCAGTAATACTCATCTTATCTGCATGTTGTTTCTTAGTTGCCCAGCATTCTGCCCAACATTGCTATTTTAATAGTGATTCTATAGAACTTTCCTTTTAGTCTAGTGGGTGCTCGTTTATCACACAGTACCTCAGACGCACTCCTCCACTTAGGCCACACTGCCTTAATTCTATGGACCACGTCCATTCCAATCTCTCCAACTGTTGTGATAATTGATCCTTAATAACAAAAATGTTCACTATTAGATAGTTCTTGGTTCTCAATTTTCACTTCTCCTCTGCTTCCATTGTTATTGTTACTAAAATTACACTCCATATACTCTGTCTTAGTTCTACTTATCTTAAATTCTTTTAGATTCAAGTGTTTCTCTCAAAGTCTTTAACTTAGTGTTACTTCTTCTCTAGTCTTATCCACTAACACGATATCATTTGCAAAAAGCATACACCATGCCACATCATTCTGAATATTTCTCGTCAACTCATCCATAACTAAACCAAAAAGATAATGACTTAAGGTTGATCTTTGATGTAACTCCACAGTAATTGAAAATTCACTTGTCTCTCGAGCAGGCGATTTGATAGTGGTCACCACACCTTTATACATGTTCCTCATCACATCAATGTACTCTTTTGTCACCCTTTTCTTCTCTAACACCCACCAGATTATATCCTGAGACACTCTATCATATGCTTTTTCAAGATCGATAAAAACCATATGAATGTCTCTTTTTTTTTCTCTATACTTTTTTATTATTCTCCTCAAAAGACAGATCGCTTCTATTGTTGATTTATCCAGCATGAATCCAAATTAATTCTCTAACACCTCTACTATATCTCGCAATCAACGTTCCATCACTCTCTCCCACACTTTCATTATATGACACATCAGCTTGATTCCTTGCAAGTTTGGACATCTTTTTTATTCTTATAGATTGACACTAAAATGCTCTTCTTCCACTCCTCTGACATTTTCTTAGTCAACAAAATCTTGCTAAATAACCTAGTCAACTAAACAACCCTTTTTTATCCAAACATTTCCAAGCTTCAATAGGAATATCATCGAGTCCTAAAGCTTTATTCTATTTCTTCTTAAGTGCAATCTCCACTTCAAAGTTCATAATCCTGCAATAGAACCTGTAGTCTTGGTTTTCTTTATTGCTGGCTACTTCCTCTCCTTTTGACCTCCCTCCATGTTCCTCATTTAACTTCTCAAAATAGTTATTTCACCTCTCCTTAATCTCTTCATCTTTCACCAACACCTTAGTGTCCTCACTCTTGATGCACTTAACCTGATTAAAATCTCTTATTTTCCTCTCTCTAATCTTAGTAAGTTTGTGTATTCTCTTCTCTCCCTTCTTACTATCTAGTCTAGTATATAGGTCATAATTTTCTATTTGCAACAAATGGAGCCTATTGTAAAATTGCTAAATGAGAGCATAATCTTAACTAAGGTCTGAATTGAGAAATCTTAAAATGCAGCTTCTATCTCTCCAAGCACAAAATCAAGCCCAACAACAATTGTCACCAGCAATTGATCCTGTCACCTTGTCCCGATATAACCTATTTAAGCAAGAACTTAACCATGAATTTCAAGTAGGATTAGAATTAAACAGATCCATGTCCACCCTAACAAGTTAATTATGACAGTACCAACTTGAAATAGTGGACGATACTTTGAAAAGGAGCCCATATAAGTTCCAGTAAGTAGTACCTTGTTCTAATGCTTATGAAAATTTAAACCAAATAAAAAAAGAGATGATAATCTTGATAATTTTTTAGTGAATTTTGTTCAGTAATGGTGCTTAGAACTGTTATGGATTCTTTTTGAGTCTGCCTCGAATGCTGGATGCTTATATCTGATTGTATTATTTGGGAATTGTATAGCCCGGAGCTGTGTATGTTTCACAAAGCTTGCAGTTCAGATCACCAGTATATATTGGAGAGGAGGTCATTGGTGAAGTACAAGCAACTAATATAAGAGAAATCAAGAACAAGTATATGTAAGTAATATCAACCTGATGTATTATCTGTCTACCTGAAATGAAGTGCATCAAGTTTGACACATCAGGTGCTTGCTTTTGTGAAATAGAGCAAAATTCAAAACAAAATGCTTCAAACATGGTGACCATCTTGTTGTTGAAGGCGAGGCTACTGCAATTTTACCAACTCTAGCTATGGAGCAAGGGCAATCTACAGGCTGACTTCACCTATGGAGCATATTAATTTCTGGTGGCAGTTTTTTTAGTGGCAGTTTTTTTAATGGAAGCTGAGCAGAGAAATAGTTATCATTAGAAGTCTGAACAAAACCGTGCCTGATGTAGCCATGGATGGGCTTCATCAGCGCATAGAAAATAGATAAATTCACCTTCTGCTTCTTTGCGACAACCATAATGTTATATCTCTGTATCATTTGGCTTACTCTTAATTTTCTGCATTTGTTTCCCCTGTTATTCCTGTAAATTTAGGTGGATTCAACTTTCTAAATTTCCCAATCAAGTCTGTTCGGTTAGGCTTTTTGAAATTTTTTTAGAACACATTTGGAAATTAGTTTGATAAAATTAAAGCACAAATAATAATAATAATAATTTTGAATTTTTAAAGATCATTTAATCATATGAAAATAACAGATTTTTTTTTTTTATTTATTAAAAACGGTCACCAAATTAGTTTAAAAAATAATTTTAAAAACTAAACCAGAAGTGGAACAGGTAGTGCACACCATCAACTCTCTAAATTTCTCAATCAACTTTGCATGAACCTCATCCTGATCCAGGATCATGCTTGGGGTTTCTTTTTTCCTTTAAAATTGTAAAATAAACAAAAACACATTTGATGGTTTTCACTGGAAAAATACACAATTATCAATATTTTGAAAAAGTAAAAACACACACCAAACAACCACCCACTACCCTTCTAGACTAGCACTTGTGGCTACTGCCCTTTCCGACAGCTAAGCAAATTATTTTCTTGTTTTTTTTTTTTTAAATTAATTTTGAAGATATACAAATATCAAACACATTATTTATTTTTGTTTCAAACCAAAAACAAATTTTTTGACAAAACACATTCTCTTTCATAATTGCCACCGTTATAACTCCTATTTAGGAAATTGAGAGATCTATTGGCAGGATAGAGGGCAACCATTACCCGATCAACTTCATTTAAAATAATTAAAAAAAGAACAAAAAACAAAAACAAAAAACAAAAAAGGAAGAAAACTGCAACAAAACTTATATTTTTGTTTGATGTCACCATGCATGCAATCAGAGAAGTTCACAAGATGAAATAACAATAGAAGGAAAGCAGATCATTTACCCCTTGCAAGATTGAATTTGCAAGGCAACAGTCCTCTCCCTAACATTACACAATACCAACTTAAAATTTCTATGGCCAGAAAATAGATCCGCACAAAAAAATAGCTATCTGGTCTGCGGTGTAGGCGCTCAACTGTCTCTAACAAATTAACAATTGCTACAAAAACAGTTTCATCACACAGTTAGGCCTTGCGGGGCACCAGGCACAGGTGTCTTGGGCTTGGCCTTTTCCACAACAATGGCTTGGGTCGTGAGGACCATCCCTGCAACTGAAGCTGCATTCTGCAATGCACATCTTGTAACCTTTGCTGGGTCGATAACTCCAGCTTCAACAAGGTTCTCATACTTGTCTGTCATTGCATTGTAGCCCATCTCCCATTCCTTGTCCTTCACCTTCTCTACAACCACCTCGCCTTCGACCCCAGCATTCTGAGCTATCAAAGATGCCGGCGCAACCAATGCCTGCATCCAACAAACTGAGTCAGCATGGTTTAACCACAAAACAAATCTTTTTTTTCACTACCTGATAAATAGACATGCACAAGCACAAACATGTATACACATAAATATGGACGAATTCCTAACCTATAGCTCTTACATCTATCCTATTTCCTCCAAGTCATATAATGATTACTAGAACTTGTTTGTAAGCACTATTTTCAGTTAGATTTAGCAGTTGCCCTAGGCAGTACTCTAGTTTTTCCAGTGACAAAAGATGAATTTTTAACAAATGCATTTGAAACAGAATTCCCAAACTCGAGCTGTTTCAAGTTTATTCCCCAAAACCAAGTTATTTTTCTAAGTCTTCTTTTGAAAACACTTCTTCATTTTTTTCCCCTTCCAGCAAATCAGTTGGAAGTCATGTCATCATATGTGTTTGAAAACACAACTTAATGAAACAATTCGGATTTGAAATATAAGTTTAGAACTGCTTGGATTTGAGAATTTTGATTTAAAATTTCCTGCATTTGGTAAAAAAAACTAGACAAAAGATGATGGTGCATTTCTCACCTTCTGCACAATGTCAGCACCAAGCCTCTCATCTGCGTCTTCAAGCTTGTCCTTAATCGCAGGTACACCAGTCGAAAGATGAACCAATGCAGCACCGCCACCAGGAACAATGCCCTCCTCTATGGCAGCAAAAGTAGCATTCTTGGCATCCTCTATACGGAGCTTACGGTCCTCAAGCTCAGTCTCTGTGGCAGCACCCACCTTTATAACAGCAACTCCTCCAGACAATTTGGCAATTCTCTCAGCGAGTTTCTCAGAGTCATACACAGAATCTGTCTCAGACAACTCTTTTTTAATCTGTGCAATCCTAGCCTGTATCTCATCCTTTGATGCAGCATCAGCAATAATGGTAGTGGAGTCCTTGATAATGGTCACCTTTCTTGCCAAACCCAGCTGCTCAACCGAGGTATTCTCAACAAGCAAACCCAGATCACTAGCTTGGTACTCAGCTCCTGAGGGATCAAAAAGATATTAATATGGATTATCTGACACAAATAAATAAATAAAAGGACAATGCATCATGTTTCTCACAACCCTGTCCAACTAAGTTGTGAATTTTGGGAAGAAAAGAAATAGAGCATTTCTCTAAACAAAAATAAAGACACATGCTGTTTTACACATTTTTAACAGTCCATAGGCATCACTAAAGAAGAAAACCCTTGTTTCAAACAACATTGATGTCACATTTTGCCTCAATTCATTGCTACATAGCGGGGGAATTTATATACTTGGGATGGAGGAAGATAAAGAATAGGAAAGCCAACAAAACGACAAATAAGATCACATAATTTTGAATACCTGTCATAATTGCAATATCTTGAAGGAGTGCCTTTCTCCTCTCCCCAAAACTAGGTGCTTTGATGGCAGCGACATTAAGAATGCCTCTCAGCTTGTTCACAACAAGAGTAGCTAGAGCCTCCCCAGTAATATCTTCAGCAATAATAAGCAAAGGGGCTCGCAATTGAGTGGTCTTCTCTAGCAAGGGAATTATATCCTTTATTGCTGAGATCTTCTGATCTGTAACCAATACTTTCGCATTCTCAAATTCAACAATCAATTTCTCAGGATTGGTAACAAATTGTGGGGAGATATAACCCCTGTCAATCTGCAAACCAAGCACAATCACATAGGAAATTAGTCAGTATGCAGACATCAGGACCACAGAACAAACAAAACGGGGGCAAGAAATTTATTAGAGAAAAAAAAATGATGAAGCAAAACAAGTGTTACGCATGCAGCTCGCACTCCACAAGCATACAGACCTCCATCCCTTCTTCCACATCAACCGTTGTCTCAAAGGAGGAGGATGACTCGATAGACAGAACACCATCAGGTCCGACCTTGTCAATTGCATCAGCAATCATGGTCCCAATAGTCTCATCATTTCCAGCAGAAATAGTAGCAATGGCTGGAAGGCAATATAAAGCCATATCAATAAAAGGAGTATGAATATGGATCAAAAGGGAAATCACAACAATGAAAGCACACGCACACTACCTTTGATATCATCACGGCCTTTGACAGGCCTAGCTTTCTTCTCTAGCTCCTCAACCAACCCCTGTACAGTTTTATCAATCCCTTTCTTTATCGACACTGGATTTGCACCAGAGGTTACACTAAGTAAGCCCAATTTAATAATTTCACGTGCAAGAACTGCTGCAGTTGTTGTGCCATCACCAGCGGAGTCATTGGTTTTGCTTGCCACCTTTATCATGCAATAAGCATATCAAATACAGGAAACTGAAACGAATAGCATTTCTATGCAGACTATACAACTGAATGCATGCCAAGTCAAAAAAGAACCCAAAAAAGCATGGATTTTTAAGAGATGTGGAAAGACCAACCTCCCTAATAAGAGCAGCACCAGCATTTTCCATTGCATCGGCTAGCTCAATAGCTCTAGCAATTGTCACTCCATCATTAACCACTTTTGGAGTCCCAAATTCATCCAAGACAACATTCCTCCCTTCAAGAAAAAGAAAATAGTTAGTTAATCAAATAGTTGCACAGCATCTTTCACAAGTTGTCAGAAAAGCATCTTCATCAAGTCATTAAAGTAGGAGCTAAGAGCCTGGCTGATTGAATCATGCAATTTCTATAGATAACCCAATTAAGCTTGATACTTAAAACAAACAAAAGTGAAAATACATTCAAACAAAACAAGAAAATAGATACCAGCATGTATTGTTGAACATTGGCTTCCTTAGATTCTTACAAATTAAAGAGGATATAACAAAATGACCCAAGACATGTTAAACAATTTCATATTCTATAGTTGCACGCCTACTTGGTTGTAAAAGTTAAAAAAATTCTCAAATATGTCTGTGCCAATGTTTCAGCACAATGAAACTGCTTTACCAAAAGTAAAACTTCAGTATATTTCATTTCCATCTTTCGTGCACATTGAAAACAATCTCTTTGTGGAACTAGAAATGATTACTAGGTTAGGGAAGAAAAGAAAACAAGAGAAAAGATTGTTTTCTGTTTCTTTTGATTGGATAAATAAAAGAAAAAGGAAAATAATTCTCTCTCCTATCTTTATTTGGTCAAACTACAGGCAAGAAAAAAAAAAAAAAAAAAAAACTCTCATGTAATATTACCAAAGAGTCAATTTTATTTTTATTTATTCTACATCTAAAGGCACAGTTTTAGTATCATGAAAGAGGAAAAAGAAAAATAGTAATCTGTTAGTTACATTTTTCTCTCAATCTCTAAACTTTTATGGTGTGTTTGGTTGGGGGATTTGGGAAGAGAAAGGGAAAAAGTGTGTGAAACTATGTGAAATATATACATATTTTATTCACATTTAACTACCTTTTCTATTTTTCTTTCCAAATCCCCCAACCAAGCCAAATCCCCCAACTAAACACAGCATTAGAGAGATTCAAAATGAGAGATTCAAAATGAGAATTTTAAGAGAAAGTCTCTCCATTTCCTTCCATTTCACCACATCTCTATCTCTTTATTAATCAAAACCGGTGATATGAATAAAAAGAAATCCATTTCTTTTATTTCCCCCAATCCAAACGGCCTTTAAGCTTTAACATTAATGCAATCACTCTTTTCTATACAAATCAACAAACACAATTGTAAAATAACAAACATCTAACTCTACAAAGAAATGGAAAGAAGAAGAAGAAGAAGTGAGAGAGAGAGAGCGAGAGAGAAAGAGAGAGAGAGAGAGAGATTATACCTCTAGGACCAAGAGTGAGGCCAACAGCATCAGCAAGCTTATCGATGCCTGCCTGAAGAGCAGACCTCGAACTCTGGTCAAACGCGATCTCCTTCGCGGCAGCTCTCACCACGAACCGCCGACTCGAGGAAACCCCGTTGTAATTCATCTTCTGACCATGCAGTAGTTGATTCACTCTCCTACTCCTCAAATTCCCCTGAATCCACACAACACAGTCAATCAATACACACATACATACATACATTCATTGATATAGAAGCATGCATCGGCAGCAGATAAAGAGTTGTGATGATAGAATTACCTGTTTGGGAGAAGAGAGGATCGAGGCGGTAGAGATTGCATTCGCGGACGCCATTTCTCTGTGTATGCGTGTGTGTGGATAAGGAAAGAGTTGAGCGGAGAGTACACTGTATTAGTGTTAGGGGGGTTTAGGAAATTAGGGCTTTTCTTTTGGAGAATACTCTCTTTGTTTAGTATATAAGTTATAACTGATGGAGGAACTTCCAGAAGATTCTTCCACTTCGAGAACCGTTGAGAGAGAGTCAAAGAGACACCCAGCGAGCGAGGCCCTTTCTTATCTTGGTGTTGGGCTCGGACCTCGGTCTTCTTGGGCTGGACCTCATCAACAATGATAGCTGTCCCCAAAGAGAGTTTGTTTGTTTTTTTTTTTTTTTTTGGGTGCGGGACTTATCATAAGTCTCATATATAAAGTTCAAAATTCATCTAATTTCAAAATAAAATATTTGTGTCAATTAGTTTTATATATTTTTAATTGTTATCAATTTTTTATTTTTTTTAATTTACAGATGCTGTTACATCCCATTATCATTGGACTTCCGTCAGTCGGTCACCGGAGATTCACTGAGATGTTTAACATCACCAAAAATTTGCCGGAGTATCACCGGGAAGCCGCAAGAGTATTGCCGGAAGTTCACCGGAGTGTTATGAATGTTAATGGAAGTCGCCAAAATATCCAGAACGTTCGCTAAACCTTAAGGCCTCGTTTGTTTTCAGCGATAGAAATGAGGGGATTGATAGTGAGGGGATTAGTAAAATTGTGTTTGTTTGATAACCAATGGAGTAGTAATAGTTCATATTTGTTTTGAGAGATAGGGATGAGATTAACCATGTGAAATTCCACAAATACCCTTATTGCATATTATTAAATTTAGACTTATACCAAGTAAAGAATAAATAAATTTTTACTCAATATTATTCTTCTTCTTTTTTTTTTTATTTTTTTAATATTAAAGAATCGAATTATCAACAAATTTATTTATTCAAATTTTTAATTTTTTTTTTTTTTTCAATATTAATGAGTCCAATAGCAAAACAAATTTGCCACCTAAGTAGTAGATTTGCACCCCATTTGATACCTCATTTGATAGAAATTATAATAAATTTCACAGGGCATCATTTTAAATTGTAATAGATTATTTTACTCATGAGAAAATGCATCAAGAGAAAATGAGCCCATGATGTAGTATTACAATCTTTGGAAGATAAAACCATCAGTTTCTACAACAACAAAAATACAACACAGAAAGTAACATAATATGGAGTCTTGATAATAACTTGGGGATATATATCAACAGCTAAAAGAACAAGATTGATAGAAAGGCCAAATAAATCACTGTAATGTGCAATTCAATAGAATAAACTTGACTTTAAACATTGACTACCCGAGAAATTCCTGCACAGCACAGTAAGGACTCTGCCCGTGATTATGTTCATAAAACATAATACATAAAAGCAAACTTTCAGTAAGTCCAGCATTTCTTTGTGACAAATTTTTCCACAGCTAGACATTTTTGGGGGGAAAATTTGAATCCCTGATTCTATAAATAACAATTTGACCAAATTAATTTTGTGTCAAAAGTCTAATTGCCCAAAATAAGAAAAAACCCCAATTCCTGACTCTATAAAATACCCACATAGAACAGGTCAGCATTCTCAACAAATAGCAATAGTAAGTGCCCTACTGCATGACAACAATAATACATGAACTACAGATTTTTTACTACCAAGTTACAAAAACCAGCCCAACATAGGAGCAACATTTACTCAACAAAAAGACCATCATAAAGTATTGCAGTAGCAGAAACAACCTAACCTATAATATTTATGCATCACATAATATATTACAAGTCATATGAGAAACAAAAAGACCATCATACAATAGATGCCACATTTAAGTATGACCTTCCAATAGCAAAGAAACCCACTCCATCTTGTCATTCTCATCTAAACTGAAAAGCAAGTCAACTTTGTCTTCATCTTTCACTATCATAGATGCTGCCATCAATCTTTGGGTATTACTCATTGGCAACTTCAGAAGTTCTGCATTAACCAACCTCCTCTGTTGGGATAGGTTATGTGAATATCCTATCCTATGAGCAATCTCCACCATTGTAGTATTAGTATTCTCAATGAATGATCCAAGATTTTTTACCATCTCTGATAGTTCAGTGGGAATCCCTTTAGTAGGTCGAGCCCGCTTTTTCCCAGTTTTAGTAGAGTCAGCACGGTTGGGAACATTACCTGCAGTAGACATTGAGTAATCCGTATCACCCATGTTCATACTAAACTGTTCAACAGGAGACTGTTCTCCTTCTTCTGGAGTTGCATTTGCATCATCTTTTTCCATGGCTGCAACTGCATCAGCAGGATCCTCAGCCAGTTCACCAGTCGCCTTATCCTTCCTAAATAGAATAAGCCAATCTTCATAGAATGGGAATGGCCTGTTTCGCATCCCTTTTGCATTTGGCACCCTCTACACAAGTGATTATGTAATTATTAAAAAGAACAAATTGATTTATAAGTACATAGACATACAAATAACAACATAAAAATGAGATTTACCCTGACATAGTTCTGCCATACGTCGTCACTATCAACAAGCACCATCTTTTGTTCATCATCCCAACCAAAACCACTTATGTTTAACATATCTTGCAGAGCATTATATTGTTTCCTCCAAAATTTAATCTTCGAGTCGATGTGAGGACTGGCTTGAAGATCAGTTCCAGGAAATGCACTTAAGATCTTCTTCTCACATTCATTGTAGAAGCCTGCCCTAAACTGATTATTATCAAGCTTCCACCCGAGATTACTTGCTATTACATCCTTCATGGTTGTAATGAGGAATACTTCCTTACGGTGATTCCAAAACCTTCGAGGTTTCCCTTTCTTACGAGAACTAGTGGTACCTGTGTCATCCATACCTATATATATGTATATCATAAGTTTAAATCATAACACACATGTCAATCATAAATAACAAATCAACTTACACAACATTTGTTACAAATACCACACAAAAACTAAACAAATAAGGTTTGAATTACATGGCATAATAAACTCTCACTATTACATAAAAATCATCATACAACACTAATTTATTGACCTCTGCTTGCTTGCCATTCATTAAACATTTGGTTTGCCAAGGCAGTTCTCCATTCACTCCATTGATCAGATGCTTCAACAACATCAATCATTTCATCTCCTAATTCAGTAGCTGGAGGAGGAGGATTCATTTCCTTGTTCTCATCATCATCAAGATCCATAGGCATTTCACGTTGTATGAGATTGTGGAGAAGGCAACATGCAGTGATAATAGGAAATTGAGTCTTGATTGGAAAGTAAGAATAAGTCCTCAATATTGCCCACCTCATTTTAAGTAGTCCAAAACACCTCTCAATGATGTTACGAGCAGAAGAGTGCCTTATGTTAAAAAACTCTTGTGGAGTTGTTGGGGCACCCCCTTCTCTCCATGTGGAACGATGGTAACGTTGTCCTCTAGATGGTGCAAGAAAACCCTTCCCATATGTGTAACCCACATCTACGAGATAGTAGTGGCCTGCAATTATGTAAGATGGATTCACCATGCATATAACAAAATAATTGTTTAATATAGATATAGTGTACCTATATATATAACAATATATAATTATCATACCAGTAGGGACTTTTAACCCATTGGGTCTACTGACAGCATCTCTAAGTACCCTAGAGTTAGAAGCAGATCCTTCCCATCCAGGAAAGACATATATGAATTGCATGTCTTGGGAGCATACACCCAATACATTTGTGGCAATTTCTCCCTTTCTTGTTCTATACATTGGTTTGTCTATTGCAAGGGCAAGAACCTTAACATAGGTTCCATCTAAAGCACCAAGACAATTCTTAAAAAAAAAATATTATAAAATTAATATAGGTAATACAAAAATATAATATCCTAATTAAGCGAAATTGTAAATATATTGTACCTGAAAACAACTCCACCTATCATCTATACAATTAGCAATTATCGGTTCAGGCTTCTTAAGGAGGAGACCATGGAGGTGCAACACAGCCTTCAGAACATTATTGAAGTGCTTACTAACTGTTTGACCACTCCGCATGAAATTAAATTAAATTTTGCGGTTCTTAGTGTGATGTGCAATCACATTCAAAAACATTGCTACTTGCTCCTCTAAAACGACATACTTTGAATCAGATAATCCAACACTTCGCACCAACCCACATAAAAGCATGAATGTACGCCTATTCATTCGAAGTTGGTCATGACAATTTATGTCACTATCGTTGACCAATCTATTCAAATGGTCAATTTATTTTCCATAAGGGTGAGGTGATCTAGGTAGTTGCAACCTAATTTCTTTCTTCTTGAATGCAGCATGTAAAATCACTATATACATAGCACATGCATAATTAATGGATGAAACAACATGTTGGAGGGCTACAAATTCCTCTATAAGGTCCTTTCTCCTTTTCTTAGTGGCATAATTATTATCCATCTACAAAAAATGAATAAACAATAAGCGGCTAAAGTTAGCATAAAAAGTAGAACAAATAATAGATAATAGAAAGTGTTTAATATGATAAAATAGATTGTAATGGCCAAAAGCCATAGTAGAGTGAGTTTGAATTTATCATATTAAAGATGTGCAGAAAAGTAAAGAAAATGATGTGATAACTTATAGTGACTTTTTGACTTTTTAGCTAAACTGTATAATTGACAAACTAGACTTATTATTTCATAAATTGGAGGGGACCAAGTGTGTGGGTCTGAACATTTGGCAGTGTTTGGTGTGAAAATCTCTCTGCCTCAAGTTCTTTTACTACATTGGAAATAATGCATCCAGCAAATAGAGTGTAACAATATCAAAAAAGAAAAAACAAAAAACAAAAAGAAGAATGAACTAAGTACTGACATAGTCTTCCACAGAAAATTGAAGTAAAATACGTATTAAACAATGATGACTTTGGTTTATTAGAGACATTGGATATTAGTTTGACATGATGGTTTCAAACAGATTAGTGCTATATTTATTTACCTAAAACTTCATTTTCTTCATTATCTTGCTTAGACTGTGCTAAGAAGACAAAGAGGATTGGTTCAATTTTTATGAGATGCATAAATATAACCAGATCAAATCAACAGCAAAAACAAGAATCGAAATAGCAACTGGAAATAAGAATCCGCCCAAAACCCTTCCCCACTGCAGCCTCCAAAACCCTTCCCCAAAGACCTTGAAGATAAGAAGAAACTTATATATGTGCCAAAAGCCAATTAAAAATCAACTACAGATAACAAAATTCCATTCATGTATATCAAAATTATACCAATTACTCCTTAAACAGTTCGAAACTACACCAATTTGAACAAAAGATAACTTGACGATGATAACCATAACAATACTGGAATTTTTTTCCTGATAAGTAGCAAGAACAATACTGGTATTATCCCAATAAAGACTTAGATTAAAAAATAAACCAAAAAATAAAAAGAAAAATACCCAATTCCACCTTATACAGTTTGAAATTACACTAATTTGAATCAAAGACAACTTGATAATGAGAACACTACCCAATTCCTCCTTGTACAGTCTGAAATTAAACTAATTTGAATCAAAGACAACTTGATAATCAAAGCAATACTGGTACTATCCCAAGAAAGACTCAGATTAAAAAATAAACCAAAAAGAAAAAGAAAAAACCCAATCTGACATATACCCAATAAGATCTATTACAGGGCATAGAAAAGCCACAGATGAATGCAAGTTTAGATCCAAGCAACGATGAACTAAATCGAACTAAATAAAAGAAATTAATTAATTAAACTGATAACAGTTAGCTTTTCTCACCTGCAACACCAACAACTATCAACAACAAAATCGACGAACAGTACAATAAAAAAACAATGTTCCTTAAAAAAATGATGATACACTATTTTACAAATCAAAACAAGATCAAATTAACAAAATAAAGATTAAAAAGAAAAAAGAAAATAAACCACAAAAAAGATTTACAAATCAAAGATTACAAATCATAAATAATTTGGAGTAGAGAATTTGATAGCGGGATTAACAAAAAATAAAAAATTACTGACGTAGCAGATGCTCAGCTGAATCTAGAGAGCTTGATGTACTGAGATCGAAAATCTGATGTGAGAGAGCTTGCTGTACGAGATTGAAAATCTGAAGAAGAAGAAGAGCTTCTCTTGCCTCTCCCTTTTGCTGCTGCTGCTTTGATGAGTTAGGGCTAGGACAACAATATGGGTAAAGTAGTAAATCACACTCCTAATACTAACGGACTAACTTTGAATACCAAGTTTTGGGGCAGACTGTGAATCCCCTCTGCAAGGCCTGTATGAAGCCGTTCGGCTTGTCAATCTGTCCATCACCTCTGTAAACAAACAGGATATTAAATGGGACCCGAAGTTATACTAATCCCAATTCCCCCTCTTATCCCCTAAAACAAACGGGGCCTAAGAACATCATTAGAGACTCACCGGAATGTCCAAAATATTGCCGGAAAAAAAATTGAGAAATTAGAGTAAAAAAATAGCAAAATGTGCTAAATATTGATAAATTAAAAGAAAAAAAAAATGTAATGACAAAAAACAACAACAATGGGAAAAAAAATGTTATTTTTCAATTTTTATAGGGTTTAAGCAAATAATCTTCAATATTGATCAAATTGAAAAGAAAGCTTTGAAACTGTAAAATGTTATAGTTTCAAAGCAAAAATCTATTGAACATTTATCTTTATTAATCAAACTGAAAAACATGTTATGAACTGCAAAATTTTGCAGTTTTAAACCATGATTCATTCCAGCACAAAAAAAAAAAAAATGGAAACTGCAAAATTTTACGATTTTTACCACCTGTAACTAAAACTCGAAAATAACTTGTTCAGAATTTGAAAATTTTCTCCCGAAAAACAGAAAAGAGAAGTGTATAGCAAAAAAAATGTAGAAAAATTAAAAGATTGAAGGAGAGAGGCAAATATAGAGAGATGATTGTAATCCGACAACTATTTTTTGTTTAGATCTAGTCGGATCTGATGTAGATCTACTTAGACATGATGTACTCGGATTTGATGTAGATTTACATCATGTCTAAGTAGATATACTCATATTCTTCGTCGGAAACATATCTTCTTCACCGTTGGTAAAGATAAAGTAAGGAGTCGGTGGTTGCCGGTGAACCCCAATCGATGGTAGTCGTTGGTCGTCGATGACTACATATCAGAAAGAGAAAGAGAAGAAGCAAGATGTCGTTGCCCGTTGACGATCGCCAGAAATCACAAAGTGCAAAAGAGGTAGAGAAGAAGAAAGACAAAAAAAAAGAAGAAAAACATTATAGGACTTTTGAGTAAAAACAAAAGGTTATGGGACTAAATAGGCTAAACATTTTTCAAAGAAGATTTCTTGGTAATTTGCCCTTTTTTTGGGGAGGGGGAACAAATTATTTGGAAGTGCTATTTAAAAGAGGAAAAGTCTATTTAGTCTCACAATTTTTTAGATACTCTCAAAAATCTATTACATATTTTTCTTCTTCATTATTCTTTATGCATTCGTTTTTCTCTATCTCTTTCTCTTCTTGAGTTCCGACAACCAAGCCTTTCTTTTTCCCTTTCTCTATCTGACTAGTGGTTGATCCATGCAATGCATGTGCTATTTTTTTTAAAAAAATATTTGATAATACAATGTGCATTATAAAAGAATAATTTAATTTTAATTATTTATTTTGATAATATTAGTGTTGTTATTCTATAAAATTGTTACTTGAATACTTATATATATATATGTTAATTTTAGTTAAATTATTCATGTATTTTAATAATTTTAATTCTATCGTATTATAAAAGTACAATTATCATATTACAATTTTGTATGATATATATTAAATTATAAAATAGTAAAATAAATACTCATTAAATATAAATATGTTGTAGTTGGATTATCATATATGATTATATGTATATATATATTAAATTATAAGATTGTAAAATAAACACTCTTAATTAAATTAAAATATCAACAATATAAAAGAAATTCAATAATAATTAACCAAAAAAGAATCACATAATAACATATAAACCCAAAGAGAAAAAATTGTGAAAACATCCAAATGATAGATACATCTCAATGTGTGAAGTGATTAATCATCTGTAATATGATGTCAAAATATAAAAGAACTTACTATTCAACAATTGAAAAAGTAACTCAAGTAAAAAATCTAAACTTTAGAGGTTCATTGAGAATACCATTACTGTGCAGGTTTTTCCTCCTGTGAGTTGTGATTATATAAAATGATGTAGGAAATGAAGTACATTTTCGTATATAAAATCACTATAAAATTTAAACGACAAATCCATAATATAGAATTGGTATTGGATATAGAATAATGTACAGGAAAATAAGAAGAAAAAAAAAAGTAATCGAGCATTTAAAAAATATTCTAATACCTTTAAAAGAATTAAGAAGGAAAACGTGAAACG